AGTTTTTTGGTGGGGAGGCATGAGATCTGACGGGGGCAAGACTGGAGGGGGGGTGGTCAGAAATGGGGGGGCACAAGATTTGATGGCTCAGCTCAGGGGGGCCCCTCCCTCCCCCCCACAGGCTGCGCCCCACTCACCGCCGCTGCTGCTCCTTGCTGAGGTCCGGGGGGAGGCCAAGAGCACCCCAAAACCATGTGCTGTCTGCACCCCCCCTGTGTGAGGATGCAGGGACCATGTTGGGGGGGAAGGGGGGTCCTGAGGGGGGAGTGGCAGTGGTGGGATGGAGGGGCAGGGCCCGGCCATGGAGGCAGCAGGCCAGGAGGTGGGGGTGATGGCTGTTCAGTGAGGAGGTGCGGGGGGGGCAACAGTCATTCAGTGTGGAGGTGGGGGGGTAACAGTTGTTCAGGGAGGTGAGAGGGGTTACAGTCATTCAGTGCAGAGATGTGAGGGAGTAACACTCATTCAGTGTGGAGGTGTGGGGGGGTAACAGTCGTTTAGGGAGGAGGTGGGGATGTGTGTGCATGTGTGTGACAGGTGATGGGCGTGCATGTGTATGTGATGTACATGTGCATGTTGTGCACGATGTGTGCATGCATGGGTCTGTGTATGTGTGATGTGTGCTGCACATTGTGTGGGTGTGATATGTTGCATGCATGTGATGTGTGATGCCTGTGTATATGCTGTGTTGTGTGCTGTGATGCCTGTTGCGTGTGCTGTCATGTGCTGTGTGCTGTATTGTGTGCTGTGATACCTGTTGCGTGTGATGTGTGTCATGTGCATGTGCTGTGCTGTGCTTCCTGTTGTGTGCATGGTGTGTGCTGTTGCATGCTGTGATGCCTATTGTGTGTGCTGTGTGCACTGTGTTGCGTGCTGTGATGCCTGTTGTGTGTGTGGTGTGTGCTGTTGCATGCTGTGATGCCTGCTGACTGTGCTGTGTGCATGTGCTGTGCTGTGCTGTGCTGTGTGTGCTGTGCGCTCTGTATGTGATATGTATTAAATGTTTGATGGGTAGTCTGTGCATGTGTTGTACACATGTGCCGTGTGCATGGGTGTGCCGTGTGTCGTGTGTGTGCTGTGTGTGTTCCACACCCATGGTTCTATAGGGCCTATAGGGGTCAGGGTGCACCCTCTCCCCTGGGAGACCCCAGGTCCCAAGGATAACTCGGGAAGGACTGAAGCAAGTGAGTGTGCATGTGTGCATGTCTGAGAGGACACACACACACACACACACACACATGCATTTACATGTGTGTCTGTACTGCCACCACAACTGGGCAACGCGAGTGGGGTGCCTGGCTCCACCCCAGACCCTGGCTGCATCGCTGTGCTTCGGTTTCCCCAGTCCCAGGGCTGGGAGCACGACATACCGCGAGCACCTGGGAGAACGCGAGGGAGGCGTGAGCACGTGTGCACGGGCATGTGTGGCCATTCCGTGATGAGGAACACATGGGCCAGGACCTCCAACAGGGGCAGGTGCGTACAAAGGTGCTCACCCGGGGCTCGGGGTCCTGGGCAGCTGGGGACAGATCTGCACGCATGCCTCTCCTCAAGCACCAGATCACACGGTGCGCGCACACACCGTAAGTTCTGATCCTAGTCAGTAGGTGGCAGTGCACATGCACACACAACCACACACACACACACCCCTGCAGTCCAAGTCAGCAAGTGGCAGTGTGTGTGTACACAAACACGCACACATAAAGAACTATGATCCTAGTCAGTAGGTGGCAGTGCACATGCATGCACACACACGAACAGACACAGAGATGTGCACACACACACCTGCAATCCAAGCCAGCAGGTGTGTGGCAGTGTACACACACACACATGCCCACACACACTACACAGCTCTTATCCTAGTCAGCAGGTGCCAGCGCATGCACACACGCACGCACACACAAACACGTGCACGCGTGCATGTGTACACCCCCCCGCCTGCAATCCAAGTCAGCAGGTGGCAGTACACACATGAACACGTGCATGCACACACACACAGTTCTGATCCTAACCAACAGGAGGCAGTGCACACATACATACATGCACACAAACGCGCACACACACACAAAAAGAGCTCTGATCCTAGCTGGTAAGAGGCAGTGCACAAACATACAAACACGTGTAAACACACGCACGCACACATGCACAACTCTGATCGTAGCCAGCAGGAGGCAGTGCACACGCACGCACACGCACACAAATACATATGTACACATGTATGTGTACACACAGAGCTCTGATCCTGGCCAGTAAGAGGCAGTGCACACACACACACACACACACACACACACACACACACACACGATCCTAGCCAGCAGGAGGCAGTGTACACACATGTACATGCGCGCGCGCGCACACACACACACATGCACATGTGCACACACAAAGAGCTCTGATCCTAGCTGGTAGGAGGCAGTGCACAAACATACAAACACACGTGTACACACATACATGCGCACACACATGCACAACTCTGATCTTACCCACGCACATGTACACATGCATGTGTACACACAGAGCTCTGATCCTGGCCAGTAGGAGGCAGTGCACACACACACACACACACACATCTGATTCTAGCCAGCAGGAGGCAGTGCGCACACATGTACACACACGTACACACGTGTGCACACATAGTTCTGATGCTAGCCAGGAGGCAGTGCACACACACGTACCATGCGTGCACACAGATGTGCACACACACGCACAAAGCTCTGATCTTAGCCAGCAAGAGGCAGTGCACACACATCTATGTACATATGTGTGCACACATATGCACACACACATATACTCACAGCTCTGATCCTAGACAACAGGAGGCAGTGCGCACACACGTACCATGTGTGCATGTGTGTGCGTGCGCGTGCACGCGCACGCACACACACACACACACAGCTGTGATCCTAGCCAGGAGGAAACAGTGCACATGCACACACACGCCCCCTGTCACCATGTACATATGTGTGCACACATATGCACACACACATATACTCACAGCTCTGATCCTAGACAACAGGAGGCAGTGCGCACACACGTACCATGTGTGCATGTGTGTGCGTGCGCGTGCACGCGCACGCACACACACACACACACAGCTGTGATCCTAGCCAGGAGGAAACAGTGCACATGCACACACACGCCCCCTGTCACCTCCAGGATCCGTGCACAATGATGCGCTCACCTCCCACCTCCCCAGCCCCTCCCCCCTGCCGGAGGCCAGGAGCC